CCAGATCAGTGACTGACCCTTCACTCCACAGTCATTTGAATAACAGCATCAGCACTCAAGAGCTGTGACAGGAGGAAAGCTGGTAAGCACAGCTCTGCAAAGCATGGCTAAGAGCTCTGTTTTCCTTCCAGCCAGACTTTTAATCCAAAACTTTCCACCTTTATGGTCTGAACTTTCACAGTCTCACTGAAAAGTTCAGAGGGTATAAACTCCATAGCTGCTCCTCATAACCAAGTACTCAACATTATCCGTTTCAAATATGTATTAGTTAAGGCAGGAAAAACAATTTGTTTCCTAAAGCAAATAAAAAGGGGTGACTTAAAATATATATACACCATAGTCACTAACAGATATGCTGAGGTAGCTACAGGCAGCCTCTGCCAGTACATATCCTGCCATGTGACAGTGTTTCATCAACATTCCTAAAAATCTTCCTGCTTTCAGCAACATCAGAAGGATCAAACTTAAGAATATTACATCAACTCAAGTCCTGCCTACACTTGTTATTTTGCTGAAGTATTAAGAAACTTACTTCTAGTATCACAGCTTACTGGAAGAATCTTGAGAGATGAGGGGAGTGACAGGAAGACCCAAGTATGTGGCAAAAGCATGTCTCTTATAATTATCTTAATGTCTGATCTACTAAGCCTGGGGATTAACTGTCACCCACACATACTAAACTCCATTCTTCACATGATAAATGTATTTAATGCATACTATTCTCCAAGAACTGAAGCCCTTCCCTTCAGAGCTGAAACAAAAAAGTAGTGCAAAGAAGTCTGTGGACAGCTGCTTCTGCAATCCTCCCTCTGTAGGTAAGGACAGTGAGAAATTCTGAACCTCATTCCAGACCTTCCATAGCTCTAAAACTTTGTAAAAACGAATAGAGATTGACAAATAACAATGTTCCTGTATGCAAAGCCTTCGTTAGTGGACAGGCAGAGGGGGAGACTTTTGAAACTCAGTAACACTCTGAAGGCACTTATTTTCACACTAAAAATAAATTGCACTTAGTTCCAACAGCAAAACAAAGAAAAAGCACGGCTCTTCCATGTCTATGTACTTCGCAGGTTAAAGCTGTACTATAATGTAACTACAGACCATTTCAATTGTTAGTGGAATGGAACTTATTTCCCCACTTGAAAGCAATTTTAACCTCTAAACAGATAAGACACAAGGCCGGATTCTAAATGGGAAAAAAAAAAAAGGCAAGAAAAAAGGGAACCGCAAGTAGTTACTGATATCAAGGATACACCCACTCCAGTTTTAACTTCTCAGGAGGCAGCTCTGTCCTAATATCATCATAGTTTTCTACATCAGAAGGAATGAACATTGTGATTGGTCGACCCCGCATGAACATCTTGATATATTCTCCCTCTGTTGAAACAAAAAAGCGTTATTCATTGTATGACAAGTTTACACAAGAAACAAGCACAAAAGAAACCAGTAATAAGCACAGGGAAGCAAGTAACACTTAGAACAATTATTTTTGAAATGCAAGCTTAGTAAAGGCACAGATTTTAATTTTTTTCTTCAACAAAACACTAAAATAGACACACACACACAGTGTTAGTTGAATTTGTGATAGAACAGACTGAGCATATAACATTTTAGACATGCAAATTAAATAACAAAGGCAAGTTTCAAATTAAAATCTGAAACTGAATAAATAAGTGGTCACAGAATCACAGGATAAGGTATTTCACGTTGAAGGGGACCTCAGGAATTCTTTAGGTCCAACCTCTGATTCAAAGCAGGCTCAGCCATGAGGTCAAACTAGGTTGCTCAGAGTTTTGTCTATTCCAGTCTTGAAAGTCTCCAAGGATGAAGATGACTCAACTGCTTGGGATCTGGATGTCTAACAAAACTCCCAAGGGGCTTCCCCACAGAGCTGCTCCCTGTCCTCAGCCTGTGCCCTTGCTAGGGGCTCCTCTTTCCCGCAGGTGCAGGACTTGGCATTTGTCCTCACCTAATGTTGTGAGGTTCTTGCAGACCCATCCCTCCAACCTGCCTAGGTACCACCCCTGGTTGGCAGCTCTACCCTCCAGTACATCAATCAGGCCCCCTGGTTTGCTGTCATCTGCAGCTATGCCATGTTGCCTGCTCCAGATTATTGTTAAGAGAAGTCAAATAGAACAGGTCCAGGACAGACCCCTGCAGATGCCACTTGTTACTACTGGCCAGCAGGCAGAGTGTGACCCATTAACCTAGACTCTCTGAAGACAACCATCCAGCTGGCTGCCTACCCACCCAAACCGTAACAGCCCACCTAGGACACAAGAATAGTGCAGGAAAAATTGTCAAAAGCTTTGCTAAGGAATATAATCTGGAATTATATATCATCACAAACTAATATGCTAACCTGAATTATAAATTTATTGAAATAATTCTAACTGCATGCTATTGCATATTGCATCATATCCTGAATAATGGAAAGAAGCAACAGCTCCTAATGACTCCAGCTGTAACACTTTCTGTAGCTGTGACAAAACGCATGCACATTTCTGTTATGGTATCTGAGCACTTCACAGGCCTTTAAAAGTTTCTTTTAAAAGAACATGAGATTATTTTCCAACAGCGAAAAGTAGTTACAAAGTAACTTTGTGTCTTAGTCAAACACATAAGCTAGTCAGAGAAAGGTACCTCATCTAGATTTAAGGAACACATGATTGCAATTAATATATTCCATGCCTTACAGGAGGCTTCCTGTAGCACTACAAAAATAGTAATTTTCTAACTTCAGAAGACCAGAAAAGCCCTTGGAGACTTTTAAGAACATTTACACCCTGTCTGCAGATCAAAACGAGCACTGCAGTGCTGTTTCACTCTAGTTAAATCAGGCCTCAAAAACACAAGAATTAATGATGACATAGGAGCTGCATTTCAAAAAGCACTTACTATTCAAGTATTTCACATTAATAAAATGGTAAGTTTTTATCACTTTTCAACTTCTTCTGTAATTAATATCTATTTTTAATGTAACAAATATGACAAACCCAAAGTAATACAATATCCTACTGTGAATCTGTAACTCTGCTATTTTTTTGAGTATTGGATTTGAAAATCATGGCAGTCAAGGGGGAACTCAAGAGTTTCAAACCAAAATGTAAATAGTTGAGGACAGGAGCAGAAGAATAGCTGTGAATCAACAATACTGTATTAAGTAATCTCTAATAATATTTGCTGCAGCCAATATTGAGGTCTGAAATCAAGATCTTTAACCAATTATTTTTATATGTCTTTCAAAAGACAAACATGAAACAGGCTTCCCAAAAATGCCCAGGGAATGCTTGAAAATACTTCTCCAATTAAGTGTAATATTATTACTCAGACTGCAGTGTGCAATCCATGTTTTGTATTCCCTAAAATATCTACAATTGAAATGACAAGAAAATCAGACTTATTCCCACAGAACTATAGTTTAACAGCACAAGTCAAACTTGGAGATCTAAAAAGACAAGAGAAAGCAGGTAATTTCAGTGTCACCAGAAGTAATGTAGACTCCAAAACAGTCTCTGGCTTACAGAAGCATTTTACGAGATGCAAAGATCAAGAAATAACCCATTGTGAGCAAGACCAACCTTCAGCCAGGGTCTCTACCATTCTCTGATTTTAAAATACCCCTAGTACAAAGACTGCAGAAACATACTCTGTCTTACTGCAGTCAGAAGAGTGAAAGAGAACAAAACTGCAACTATTTCCATCCACCAGAGACATAAAGCAGTCCTGCACAATTTTTGGAAATAAATTCTTGACACTCAAGCTCTTTTTTCTACAGCTAGACAAGACAGAATACTGACAATCAACAGTTTAATGAAAAAAAAAAGTGGTTTAAACAATCTTTTAAATTACCAAACATTTCTGATCAAAGAGGATTTGATCAGAATTGGGCAAAATTCTGTGGAATACCACCTCAGTTCTACAAACACCAGAAAGCACAAGCTTTGAATACAACACGGATTATCTTGGAACAAGCCAGTGGCTTGGACAGCACTGACACATACAGGAAAAATCTATGGTGACCAAATCATATAATAAATCCACTAACTCCTAGCCAGAGAAAGAACTACCCATGAGCTCGCATGGTTTTAACATCACTTGTCACAGCACTGCTCAAACTTAACTAGGTCAATGAATCCATGTACCTGAGTGTAAGATCGTTAAAAGTATTCTCCTATGTGCATGGTACTCATTGAGGATTTCACAACTTGCACAGCTTAACTTGTTGAAAACTTTTTTTTTTTTTTCCTTTTAAACACTTTAGTTGGATTTCTTGATGATTAACAGTTTTAATTTTTTTTAATCACTTGATGAAGCAGATCACAGTATATCAAATTCACCAAGTTCCCAAAGTTAAGAGATTATTAGTGTGACTTCTTTTCCACTTTTAGTGTGCTAAAGTCAACCTTCTGAGACCAAGAACTCATTTTACTTGAATCTTGTGTTTCTTTTGACCCTGATAGTTTACACTGCACTGGGGGCAAAAGAAAGGAATTTTGTTCTGACAGTCCAAATACAACTGAAACCTAGTGCAAAAAAACTGTCCACAGGCTCAAAAACTAATTCCTGAACAGAAATAATAATAATTGACCAATGTAAAACTAACAAGTATATAAAGGTTTTTCCTTATTTAGAATAATACAACTAAAGTTGAGCCATTTAAGTCCAGTATCAAAAGGAACAAATACTGAGAAGATAAAAAACAGTTGTCCCACTTCCAAGAACAAATCGTGAGTCCATCCACTGACAGCAGTAGAAAACCTGCCTCAGATCAAATATTAAAGAACAAAGAAAATCACTCCTCAGTAGCGAAGTAAGAAACAATAGGTATTTTACCAAATATGCATTGCTTAATTGTATTGCTGAGAAGAGCTAAAAATCAGTGTTGTCACTACTTTGATACAAATGCTTAGATAATTATTCTACAAGAGCAACATGTCTTATTTTTCCACCTGTGGTGGGTTGACCCTGGCTGGATTCTAGCTGTCCACCTAAGCCATTTTATCACTGCCCTCTTCAGCTGCAAAGGGGAGAGAAAATATAATTAAAGGATCATGGGCTGAGACAAGGACAGGAGATCACCTAGCAGCTACTGTCACGGGCAAACCAGACTCAACATGGGGAAATTAGTTTAATTTATTATCAATCAAATCAAAGAAGGAAAATGAGAAATAACCACCAAATCTTAAAACACCTATCCCTCACTCTTCCTGTCTTCTCGGGGTCAACTTCACTCCCTAATTCTCTGCCTCCTCCCCCACAGCAGCACAGGGGGACAGGGATTACGGGTTGTTGGCAGTTCATCACACATTGCCTGTGCCACTCCTTCTTCCTCAGGGGAAGGACTCCTCACACTCTTCCCCTGCTCCAACATCAGGTCCCTCCCCAGCAAGACCTGGACTGTGGGCAGATATCTGCTCCACCATGGTCCTCCATGGGCTGCAGGGGACAGGCTGCCTTGCCATGGCCTTCACCACAGGCTGCCGGGGAATCTCTACTCTGCTTCCTGGAGCATCTCCTCCCCTCTGCTTCTTCCTGACCTTGGTGTCTGCAGAGTAGTCTTTCCCATATATTCTCACTCCTGTCACTCCTGCAATTTTTCCCCTTCCTAAATACATTATCCCAGAGGTGCTACCACTGTCTCTGGGAAGGGATTTGGCCAATGGAGGGTCCATCTTGGAGCTGCCTCTCATTGGCTCGGTTGGACACTGGGGAAGCTTCTAGTAGCTGCCCACAGAAGCCCTCCTGTAGCCTGCTTGCTACCAAACCTTGCCATGCAAAACCAATACACCCTCAAACAATTTTTTATAGAAGACATTTTACAGAGTTAAAATAACACTGGCCAAAACCAAGAGTAATGTATTAATAGTGACCTTTCTATTAAAATCTGGTGCTCACACCTTTATCAGTAAAACCCAGCACAGCCTGAGGGTATTTAGAAAAGACCATTAATTTGTGCAAGTCATATTCTTCATTTAACACTGAGCTTGGCACTTCTGGTACCACAAGATCAGTGCAAAACGACACCAGAAATTTAGGATCAAATTTCTCATCACTGCTTGGAACAGTGGAGACAAGCTGCAACTGACATTCATAGGGATGGAGGCAGTTGCACCTGTCAGACTCTGCAGATGAGAGAGATAAAGAGTCCAAGAGGAATTCTAACAGGTCTTTGGCCAGAAGAGGCTCTCCTGGAGCTCTGGGAAAATATTACCTGCAGGCCATTCAGATTAAAAGTAGCTTTCTGAACATTAAAGAACCATTAAAACCATTACAGAAAGAACATTTTTTTGCTTCCATTAACTAGCTACATGCTTATCAAGATTACTTTTGAAGATATGTATTTAACACACTTGTTAGAGAGACATGGGCCAGGT